TATAATAATAATACTAATAATAATACTAAATAATACTAATAATAAGAAATTTAGAAAACTTATTCTATAACAATATATTTTATTTGAGCAGCTCAAAAAGAGAAAGATATAGTAAAAATGACAATAATTAGATAGAGAAAAGAAGAAAAAAAAATATTATACAATATTTTGTAAAATAAAATACCCTGGGGTATAACTGTATCCAAGTACTATACTAGAAGAGAAAATAGCATATACTATACTATATAGAAAGATATATATTTACTATATATATAGATATTATTTAATATTAATTAACATAAAATTAAATACATAATCCAGTTATATGTAGTACTCGGATCTTTATACTGAAATTAAAAAGGAAGTAGAGGTATTTTATTTCACAAAATACAGTAATATGATGTGATATATAAAAAAAAGCCAATTTTTTTTTATATATCTTCTATTATCATATCTTCAGTTTGTCCAAGTTCAAGACCTTCTGTAATTTAATTCTTTAAACAAATACTGGTCTATGCAGTTTCTGGTGTGAGGTGATTTCTAGTTTTACTGATCATTAAACCTGCTAAAGAAAATGTCTGCTTACAGGGAATGCTAGTGGCTTGAATGGTCAAATAGTTCTTTGCAAGCTTTGAAAGAATTGGATATCTTGTCTAGTACATTTTTCACCACATTAAGGGATCAGTATTTTCTTCTGGAGGAAGTTCTAGATAATTGTTTAATTCATCCAAAGGAGTTTTTGGTGGCTGATTTTGTCGATAACATACTTTGACTTTTTCAAAATAGGATTTGAAAAATGACTTATTAATAGACGAAGCCTAATTATCATTGTTATTAATAGATTGATATGGTTATATAATAAGTTGAAGTCTTTGTTTTACTAATTCAACTTGATCTGGTGAAAAATTAGACAGTTTAGATCGAGATCTAAAACTGCAGGAATGGCCGAATGAATATTGAAATAATAGATTTAATATTTGTTTAATTTTTCATAAATAGCAGATACAACATAGTATTGATTAGAATTAATATCAAGATAGAATTGTATTTCAATAGTCATGCCAGTAAATGCTACTCAAATATCACTAATAGTTGAATAAGAAGCTAAGAACAAAAAAATAGTAGCTTCATATATCAGCTATAAGATAGTTAATAAATCTTATAAAAGATAGTAATTTTTTTTTTATCTTATATTTGAAAAGGTTATATTTAATAACTTACTAATACTTACACTTATTTTCTTTCATTCATTCGAATTTAGGTATAAATCTTCAAATTCTGTTAAATTATTATTTACAAGAAGTTAGACCATTTCTTTTATTTTTAGTTGTTGCTCAATCATCATGTAGGTAGAGCACCACCTTATCTCCTTGTCAAGAATGAACACAAGATAAGGTTGTTGTTTAATTGCGTATATATCCCGCAATTCATTAATTAATCAGGATGAATTTTTTACTTTTTTTATGAATTTACATAGCTTTTGCAATATTTTGCTAGCAACTTCTATACTTCGTGAAACTGCCAGATTAATAACATGAGCAGCACAACGATAATGCTCGAAGGCAGTATTATTAAAATTTAATTGAAGATTTTGAATAAGATAACTTCCGCAAGTGACCATGTTTGATGCGTTATTCTAAAAAATAAAAAAATAAAAATAAAAAAATAAAATAAAAAAAATAAAACAAGAAAAAAATACTACCATAGTTAAACCAATTATTTTATTATTTAGGTTGAATTCATTTAAGAAAGAGGATATTGTACTTGCTATATTGATTTCCATATGGCTTTCAGTAAGTAAGATAATATTAAGCAAAAAATGCTTTAATACCTAATTATCATTAATATAATAGAGAGTAATTCCAAGATACGAATCATTTGTATTGGAAGTTCAAATATCAGCTATAAGTGAGATCATACTAGATATGTTCGCAATATCATTATACAGATTTGAATATTATCTATTGAAACTATCAATTAAAGTACTCTTAATATGCTGATGGCTTGGTATTGGGTATCTAGGATTTAGCAAGTTTATGAATTTTCAAAATTGATGGTTTTCAACTATTGTGAAAGGTTGCTGATCTATGACTATCCGCTTTAAAAGAGATTCAATAATAGAATATTGCTATTCGCATAAGTATGGATAGTAATAACGTATATCTGTAGATACAGATACCTTTTAGTTATAAGAATATTATATCTTGTAATTAAAGTCTTATATCGTAAATAAAATATATTTTTCTTTAAACTATATACTTTCCACAAACTGCCCTTAATGAAGTTACATTCCACTTCTATATCACTATAATCTCGTAACGGAGCTCTATAGCTGTGTGCTTTGTTACTTGTGCTGAATTAAGAATACTACAGTTCACTTGTAACAATTTGGTACCTCTTGGCAGAAAGAAAAAATTTTGCCACTCTATAAGAGAAACCCTGCCTCGTTGAATTGAAAATTCTTGCTCTCTAAAGGAAACTCTTCCTCTTGAAAAGGACCTCTTGCTAGATCAACTTTTGAAAGGATATTTATTTACGACTCCCCCTTTCTCCCTGCTATTACTATCCTAGTAATAGTTTCTTTTAGAAGTCTTGACAAATTAAAAGAGATTTGATCAGAAGGACACACTTGAAGCCTCTGTTTTCGTAGCAACTATTGGAAGTCCTGACAAATTGAAAGAGATTTGCTCAAAAGAACATACTTGAAGCCTCTGCTTTCATAGCAATCATAGAGCTAGCAGCCTACTGCGAACCTTAATCAAGGATTAAACGTGAATTACCTATGAGCCAAAGTATGGGCATAAGTAATTTCACCCAGGATTAGATTTTTAAATACAACTAGAACCAGATAACTCTTAAATATTACAACCCAAGGATTGCTCACAGCATTATATGTATCGAGCCTACCAATTGCATTTGGAACGTATACGAAGACACAAATTAGCACACCAAGAAAATAGTCTTACAAACGATACCCTTCAAGTCCTTGCTTCTGATGAATTTTGTCAACAGTATTTTACTGCTACCCAATATCATCATGCTTTCTATAGTTTTTGGTTGTGGTATTAACAAGCTTTTGCCGCAACTTCTTATACTCAGATAACAGTCACAGTCTATTTTGAATTAAGAGATTATTCTAACTATAGTTCTGCCCAAGCTTTAGTTAGAGATATTATTTTTAGTTGTCAATATAGAATTCCATTTGACAACCCTCGACAAATAGCCACTACTCTCTTCGCTAATTATACTAGATATCAACTTGTACCTTATTTACCTCCAAATTTTTCTGTCAACAACTTTGACTCTTATATTGAAAACCCTGATTATTCTCCTCTATTAAATCTCACTACTGACCCTGCTAAAGCTTTAGAAGATTTTGGTTCATCTGTAGCTTCAACCTCCCAAAGTGAAGTAAACCCTTCTGATTTTGCAACCTTACCTAACCCATATCCTGTTAACCCTTTACAACCTGAGAAAATAGAAGATATCTCTACTCACTCTATCTCTGTTCTCTCTGACTATGACGAAAATACTATTCAAATTCAATTTCCTCCTCAAATTAATACTTCTAATTCCCTCTTTGCTAATATCGATTTAGAATTTGCTCTTACTCCTCCTCGCACTGCAACTAACCCTTCTCGAGCCCAACCTTACCTATTTACTTAACTTCTTAATTATATTATATCTACTAACATATCTACTAATACTACTAACCCTCCTCTTGCACCTGGAGCTTACCCCCAAGCTGGTTTAGATCTTAATACTACTCTATTAAATACTCCTCCTCAACTCTAACAACAACTCCCTACTGCACCATTATTAATAGAATCTAACCAAGACCCTGACCAAGATCCTAACTTCATTGTTGAAATACCAGAAAAAGATAATAACCAAGCTTCTGATGCTGAGACCACTTCTACTATAACTGACGAAGAACCAGAACAAGAAGAAGATATGGCTAATGCTGCACTTAGAGCCGCTACTTGAAGCAATGACTGCTGTTGCTGCTGCCTTGAGACGTGGTGGTAAAAAGTCCCTTATCAAAATAGATTTCTATCGAG